AGAACACTGGGTATGAATCAAGGGGGTCAACCACAGGGGTCCACACCTGAGAACACTGGGTATGAATCAAGGGGGTCAACCACAGGGGTCCACACATCAGGACCCCTATGTGTGTGTTCTGAGGTGCATCTGTACAGGCGTCAAGGAAGGATGATCCCTGATATCTGGAATCCATCATTTATCCCACACTCAATGCCAGCAAATAGATTCTGTACCCTATTCTTCAGGCTCATTTACCAGGTCACTCTCCAAATGTGTAAGACACATCTTCATACTTCCCAATCAGTGAAAAGAAACACATCTCTTTTTATTCACATTTCTTCCTATTTGTACTGGTTGCACATAAGGGACAAGCTCAGATCTTAGTTCTTGTGTGTGTCACTCCTCAGGAGCCTTCAGTGGGTAGCTCCTGCTGAGCGTCCTCCTCCTATAGATGAGGAGACCCCGGTGCAGGTGATGAATGGCAGGCCCCCCGCAGAGAGCAAGGAGAATTCTGCCTCCACAGCCTCACAGTGCCAGGACACCATCAGAAGGACCAGACGCCTGAGCTCTGGGCACAGCCCTGCCCGGGGCACTCAGTTGGGTACAGCAGGGCTCGGGGCCCTGGAAACCCAGTGTCTCCTGGGCAGCGTCTTTCTGTGCTGGTAGACACTTACCTTAGAGGAGACAATCCTGTTGTCCGGATACCTCTGTGGGATGTAGGCCTCCGTGCCGGGTGGGGGTTCCCTGTGTCCCACGTAGATTGTCCGGCTGTCCACCCAGTTCTCTTCCCCTGCACACTAGGACAGGAGGGTGATGTTAGCACACCTGCCTCAAATCTGCTCACAACGTTCTCACCCAAGGCCTGGCCCTAAGGCCCCCCTTACCGAAGCCTGGGCCTGTAGGCTGAGGGTGGTGCTCCAGGCTGCCTGGGCTCAGCCCCCACCTAAGTCTGTAGACTGTCTCATTTAAATCCCACACCCTATGCACTGGAAGGCAACTGGCTGCAGCACAGTCAGAGAACTGCCCATGGGGGCTCAGCCCCTGTGCACACAGTGCCAGCCATGTCCTCTTTCCACTACTCTGAAATGGGTCAGTGTTCTGTAGCTGGAGGGGGAGGGCTCTTGGCCTGGGGCGCTGCAACTTATCTCCCCTATCTGCACGTTCCTGTTGACATCCCTGTACACCATACAGGTCTCTGCTTTTTTCACTTTTCCTTTGAATCAGTTCTATCACTTGGTCCCTTCATCTTAAACACATGTTCACTTTCACGAGAATCCTGGTTTTCCCTTTTTCAACATTATCTTTGTGGGTTTCATCCAGACTGGATTAGGGCAGGCCAAACCCCCAGAGGAAAAATGTGAGCAAGCTCTGAAATGTAAGCTCAACTCAGCACCATCCCAACACCAGATCAGTGATGGCAAAGTTCACCACATAACAGGTGTCTGCTAGGCTCTGAGTGGACTGGGCAGCACAGACAGACAGCTTCTCCCCAGGCTCTTCCTGTTCTCGAAGAACACAAGGGCCACGTGCCACTTTTCCTCTATCATCTTTGAGCCTCAAGTCCACAAGGAACTCAGGGGGGCTCACAACACCTTCAAGGAGCTTGGAACCACCAGGCAGGAGGCCTGAGGGCTGTCTGCAGCTGGCTTCCCAATAGACAGAGAAACACGGCCCCTCCCATGCACACCTCTTCTTCTGGAAAAAGAATCATGAGCAGCAAATAATTCCAACAGAATAACAGCAGATCCTAATGTGGTCACACGTCAGGCTTTCTTCTGTGAATGAAATTCCAGGGTGGGAAGGGGCCTTTCTGGAGTGAGGCATGCCGTAAACCAGCACGAGTAACACAATAAAAACACTGGGTGGCAATGGACCCACTAAGAGTGGCCTTTCCCATGACATGGCAGTCTTTACAACAACTTTGCAAACCTCACAGTGAAGTGACTTCACAGGGGAACTGAACACACAAGCCAAGGGCCTGTCTAAACGTGAAGTCACCAGTCACACAGAAGAGAGAAATGGCCGCTCACTGCCCACAGCCTCACATGCCCATCCAGCCTTCCGCAGCAACCAGGATGATGTTTGAATGTTGTTTGGCCTGTGTGACAGACACAGGGCAGTGACACAGAAGAGTTAAACAAAAGAGGAATTAGCATTTGAGAAACTCAGTGGTTTCTAAACTCTTGGACCAGAGGCTGGGGTAAGAAACACACCTACAACTGGCCCAGTCTCACCATGCGTCTGCACCCTCAGAGCTCCTGTCCCACCTCTGTGGCCCTGCTCCTGTTGGCCTCCGCGAAGAGGGTTTGGAGGACACCTCGCTCATCCTGGCACCCTGTGCAGGCCTCAGTCTCTGTGCATAGAGGCAGCCTGTCCTCCTGTCTGCCTCCCGAGTCCCTGGTTAAAGTAATTCCTGGAATGGGGTCTACTTTCTCCCAAAGCATCAGTGTCCCTCATTTTTCCAGAACTGTCTCCACAGAGTGTCCCTTGGGACGGTCCTTGGCTGTGGTCTCACTTCTGCAACCAAAGATACCAGAAGCTCCAAATTTAAGACATTGGCTTCAGGGTTGGAACAGACAATGCAGGGAACCTGGGAGGTATCAGCAGTCTTTAAATATAAAGGAAAATCTTAGAATCAGATCCAAGTAAAATTTGTTTTCATAACAGTTCGGACAAAAAACAAATAAAATCAAAATTGTTTGTGCTTGTGTTTTGCATTGGGCATTTCCTGTAAGCCTGGCAGGCTCCGTCCTCTTTAGTGACCACAGGAAGAAGTGGACGGCAGGCATCGTCCTTGAGAAGATGAGTTTCCTAGTGCATCGACTCCCTAACGTGCATTCAGAAAAATTACCTGCATCTTCCCAGGAGACCTTAACAACGTGCCCTACAAAATTATTTCCAAGGTATTTACATCCCAATGGTGAGTCCAGACAAACAGCAGATAATATGTTCAAGTTACAAATGGGGCACTGTTCCAGATAATTTTAAATCCGCAAGCTGTCAAAAATAAGGCAGCCCACCTACTCATTTCTCCCAAATGTGAGTTTGGAGAGTTTAGTGTCCTAAACCAGGAAGAAACCTTAACAGACCACGTGCAAAGACCAAGCAGGCCTTAGGGGATGTCCAACCCCCTTCCCCTTGAGGGAGGTGGGTGCATGAGACCCCCAACTGAGAAGGGGATGCAGCCCCTGCTCTCCGTCTTCAGCATCTCTCTTCAGGGGAGGGATGGGGGCTGAATCAGGAAGGAAATGGGGTTCACCAGGAGAGGCCAGGCTGGTCCTGCAGAGAACGAGAAAGGGGCTGACCCTAGGGACTTTCTAAGAGGTGAACTGTGCTGCCAGCACATGCCTTGAGGGAGCACACAGTCCCTGCAACAGGGCCCAGCCCTCCTCAGCCCCAGGGCACCCCACAGTGGGCAGCATCACAGGAGAAACACTTGTCTCCATCAGGCTGAGCAGGGACTAGCGCTATAGACCACAACCACAACGCAGAAGAGTCAGTGCACCTTGAGTAGTGTCACCTCTCAGGAGGGCCAGCAGCTGTTTCTGTAGGTAGATCCCTGGGCCTTTCTTGGAGTCTCAAATCGTATGCTGGGCAGCAAATACGCAAAGTACCCCATTCTGCCAGGAGCTAGAGAGACGCCCTGGCCTGGGCTTTTGTCAGCGGAGGGTAGGGGTGAGTGGGAACTTCATGGTCACCTATGTGCCAGGTCTTGCAACAAGATCATTCATGGCGGGCGTGGGAGAGAGATACCTGTCTGGGGGTCCAGTCTTGAGTGCAGAGGGGTGCAATGTTTCCCTGGCTCAGATTAATCAGTGAGAAAATCAAAATATGCTGAAAGAAAGGCACAAGTGGCTCGGCGCCTATAGCTCAACCGGCTAAGGCGCCAGCCAC